TAGTGTACTTAGATTTCCAGAAAGCCTTTGACAAGGTCCCTCACCAAAGGCTCTTATGTAAATTAAGCTGCCATGGGATAAAAGGGAAGATCCTTTCATGGATTGAGAACTGGTTAAAAGATCAGGAACAAAGAGTAGGAATAAATGGTAAATTCTCAGACTGGGGAGGGGTAACTAGTGGTGTTCCCCAAGGGTCAGTCCTAGGACCAATCCTATTCAACTTATTCATAAATGTTCTGGAGAAAGGGGTAAACAGTGAGGTGGCAAAGTCTGCAGATGATACTAAACTGCTCAAGATAGTTAAGACCAAAGCAGACTGTGAAGAACTTCAAAAAGATCTCACCAAACTAAGTGATTGGGCAACAAAATGGCCAATGAAATTTAATGTGGATAAATGTAAAGTAATGCACCTTGGAAAAAATAACCCCAGTTATACATACAATATGATGGGGGCTAATTTAGCTACAACTAATCAGGAAAGAGATCTTGGAGTCATCGTGGATAGTTCTCTGAAGACGTCCACGCAGTGAGCAGCGGCGGTCAAAAAAGCAAACAGGATGTTAGGAACCATTAAAAAAGGGATAGAGAATAAGACGGAGAATATCTTATTGCCCTTATATAAATCCATGGAACGCCCACATCTTGAATACTGTGTACAGATGTGGTCTCCTCATCTCAAAAAAGATATACTAGCATTAGAAAAAGTTCAGAAAAGGACAACTAAAATGATCAGGGGTTTGGAACGGGTCCCATATGAGGAGAGATTAAAGAGGCTGGGACTTTTCAGCTTGGAAAAGAGGAGACTAAGGGGGGATATGATAGAGGTCTATAAAATCATGAGTGATGTGGAGAAAGTGAATAAGGAAAAGTTATTTACTTGTTCCTAAATAAGAACTAGGGATCACCAAATGAAATTAATGGGCAGCAGGTTTAAAACAAATAAAAGGAAGTTCTTCTTCACACAGCGCACAGTCAACTTGTGGAACTCCTTACCTGAGGAGGCTGTGAAGGCTAGGACTATAGCAGGGTTTAAAAGAGAACTGGATAAATTCATGGAGGTTAAGTCCATCAATGGCTATTAGCCAGGCTGGGTAAGGAATGGTGTCCCTAGCCTCTGTTTGTCAGAGGGTGGAGATGGATGGCAGGAGAGAGATCACTTGATCATTGCCTGTTGGGTTCACTCCCTCTGGGGCACCTGGCATTGGCCACTGTCGGTAGACAGGACACTGGGCTGGATGGACCTTTGGTCTGACCCAGTACGGCCGTTCTTATGTAAAAAGAGAACATTGTTCTGGGATGTATTAGCAGGTGCGTTGTAAGCCAGACACGAGAAGTGATTCTTCCGCTCTGCTCCGCGCTGATACGGTCTCAACCGGAGTATCGCGTCTAGTTCCATTTCAGGAAAGACATGGACACGTCGGAGAAAGTCAAGAGAAGAGCAACAGAAACGATGAAAAGTCTAGAAAACATGAGCTATGGGGGAAGATTGAAAAACTGGGGTTTGTTTAGTCTGGAGACGAGAAGCCACAAGTACGTAAAAGGTTGTTACAAGGAGGAGGGAGAAAACTGTCCTCGTTAACCTCTGAGGATCGGACAAGAAGCAATGGGTTTAAATTGCAGCCAGGCCGGTTTAGGTTGGACATCAGGAAAAACGTCCTGTCAGGGTGAGGCGCTGGAATAAATCGCCCAGGAAGGTGGTGAAATCCCGGTCGTTGGGGATTGTTAAGAGCAGGCTGGACAAACCCCCGTCAGGGACGGTCTAGACAATACTGAGTCCTGGACTGGAGCCCTCGCGAGGTCCCTTCCAGCCCTATGATTCTATGAAACCCCAGGGGCCAGCAGGGGGTTGGGGCCCAGGGCAGGGGAGCTGGAGGGGGGCCCCAGCCAGGCAGCTAGGGGTCGGGGGGGGGGGGGACTCACCCCGATGACCCGCTTGGCACCCGCCTTGGCCGCGAACATGCAGAGAATCCCGGTGCCGCTGCCCACGTCCAGAACCACCTTGTCCTTGAAGAGGTGCCGGTTGTGGAACATGGAGTTTCTGTAGGTCAGAGTGCGAACCTCGTCCTTCAGCATCTCCTGGGGGAATACGGGGGGGTGAGCGGGGGCCCCCCAACCCCACCCAGCCCACTCCCCACACCCTTCAGCATCTCCTGGGGGGACACAGGGGGTCAGCAGGGGCCGAACCCCACTCCCCTCGTCCTTCAGCATCTCCTGGGGGGACAAGGGGCCCCCAACCCCACCCAGCCCACTCCCCTCCCCTCATCCTTCAGCATCTCCTGGGGGGACACAGGGGGTCAGCGGGGGCCCCCCAACCCCACCCAGCACGCCTTGTCCTGCAGCATCTCCTGGTGGGACACGGGGCCCCCAACCCCACCCAGCCCACTCCCCTCGTCCTTCAGCATCTCCTGGGGGGACACGGGGGTGAGCAGGGGCCCCCCAACTCCACCCAGCCCACATCCCTCATCCTTCAGCATCTCCTGGGGGGATTCAGGGGGTTAGCAGGGGCCCCCCAACTTCACCCCGCATGCCTTGTCCTGCAGCATCTCCTGGGAGAAAGGGGGCCACCCAACCCCACCCAGTGCACCTCATCCTCCAGTTCCTCCTGGGGGGGGGGAGGAGAACAAGTGGCAGGGATGTGCCCATGAAGCCAGGCACCCCACGGGGACGTCTGCCCCCTCCCCGGGGCCCTCCCTCCCCCACTGACCTCGTGGATGCCGAAGTGGGCGTAGGAGTCGAAGTAATAATCCTTGGACGTCATCTCCTCGGCTGTGGGCTTCACGCTGCTCTCGGCCTGGGGGCAGGACACCTGACGGCAGGGGGGGGCTATGGTCAGACAGACACCCCCAAACACACCGCAGGGATGGGGCCGAGCCACAGGGGCCCAGCTGGTATCCACCCCCCCACCCCATCAGCCCCACCCCGGCCTGTATCCACCCTCAGCTCCGACATCAGCCCCACGGGCCCAGCCCAGCCAGTATCCAGCCCCCACATCAGCCCCACGGGCCCAGCCCGGCCTGTATCCACTTCCAGCTCCCACACCAGCCCCACGGGCCCAGCCCGGCCAGTATCCAGCCCCCACAGCAGCCCCACAGACCCAGCCCAGCTGGTATCCACCCTCCAGCCCCCACATCAGCACCACGGGCCCAGCCCAGCCAGTATCCACCCGCCATGACCTGCCCCACGGGCCCAGCCAGGCCTGTAGCCCCCTCCATCCCCCACACCAGTCCCCGCGTGGTGTCACCACCCCCATTCTGCAGGCCCCATGCGGAGCCCCTGGCACCAGACAGCACCACTCTGGGGGGCTGGGCTGAAGGCCTGGCGTCAGGGGACCCAGCCCCCCATCCTGCCCCCTCCCCTGGTGGGGCCCAGAGCACATCTGCTTGGCAGGAACAATGCGGGGCTGGGATGCGTAGCCCCGAGCCCCCCCATTCCAGCCCCCCGCAGAGCTGGGTCTCCCCGCGCCCCACCTCCGTTCCCCCACCGACCGCACCCACAATGCACCGCGGGAGCTGGGGCTGGAGACCAAGTTAAGGAAACTGGGGAATTACTGGTTTCCCCCCCCCTCCCCTGCAGCCACCTGCCCAACCAAGCACAAAGCCCCCAGTCCCCGCAGCAACTACCTGCCCCCCCCCCCCAGCACAGAGCCCCACTCATGCTCCAACAGCTACTCCCTGGCCCCCCGAGGTCCAACCATGCACACAGACCCCCGGCAGCTACCCACCCCCCTCAAAAACTCCCAGCCGGTAACCCCCATACAGAACACGGGGCCCTAGGGGCTTCCTATAGGACTCCCCTGAAGAGAGCCCCCCCAGAGCAGACACCCACTGCCCCCCTTAGGGCTGAGCAATGTGTGGGGGATGGGTCACAACCTGCCAGCGGAGGGGGCAGACGCTCTGAGCTAGGATTGGGGCTGGGGGGGG